GAAGAGTATGGAGGGATGGACACTGGGAAGAGGTAACTATGGAGAGGAAGTGGGAGGGGAGCTGTTGCATTATAAATTTTGGTCAATGACATGAGACAAACTATATTATGTGAACTGCTGTATGGAAAGTGAATTTACTCTGTAAATCTTCACCCAAATCAAAATAAAAATATAAAAAAAAAATGTTTTGTTTTGAAAATTTTAGAGCTGTCTATCAATACACTGAAGTCTTTGTTTTGTATATACCTGAATAGGCATCTTTGTACTAAACAGCCCTGGATTACACAATAATTTCCTTATTGCATTAACTAAAATTTATGTTCCTAAAATGCCTGCTAAGCTAGTGGAACATGTATGTCAAAATTTCCTGGAAACATAATATGTTGTGGGGAAAATGAGAGTAGTTTGCTATTTTGGAATTTACCAGAAACCTCAACTTTTACTCTTGTTTCCTCAGGTCTGTGAAAACTGCTCTGGCTACTCAAGAGGCAAGTTCACTAGTGCAGTTTAATTTAAAGGGAGGCCTCTAGGGGGACAGATCCACCCACAAAAGGAAATGGGACTATACAGAGAGATGCAATTGCTTAGAAAAAAACAAAACAAACAATTGCTTCGTTTGCGAAGACAATCTTTTATGAAGACTCTGTATTGGATTCTTCCCCATCAATCAGCACACTTTACAACAAGTGTACCTCATAGGCATCATTTTGAAAGTTGGTGTAGCAATCTGAGACTCAGGCTAATCCGAGCAATAACCTGATCTTTTTGCTCAGAACCTATTCTATGTTGGATTTGTCAGCTGACAACACGTCACCATAACCACCTAAAGCCTCCCCTGCTACATTTCTTCTCTAGCCCAGCAGGGGCAGCCAATCACGAAACCATTTAAATTATACTGAGGAAGAAAAAAAATAATGTTAAAAGTATCCAATCCGTTTCTTTTGTAAAGTTCACTTTCATATAGAATTTGCTTTTAACCTATTGCCTTCCTATTTTAAAATGTTTGCAAATTATATCTGATCATGCTAGCAGTTTATTTTTTTGAGCTCAATAAATGTTTAAACTTTTCTGGCCATGAAATCAGCTTACAACTTCCCTTAATTCCAGCCCACCTGATAGTCATGTGAGAAGATATTTGTATCAGCAGGCATAACTGAAAGATACTTTATCTAAGGAGATCTGCATATTCTTTTGTTAAGTCATTTTTAAGTGAAGCATGAAAAAAATATAATAACAATGTACAATAAGTTCATAGATTAGAACACAGTTCTTGTTTTTGGATTAAAAAATCAAGGTGGGAACTTAATTTGCTGTGTAAACTTTCACTGAAAACACAGTATTATTTTAAGAAATATTCAATAAAGAATTATCTTAAAAACCTAACAGTACTCAGTTTCTAAAAGGTGTCACTGATATCCAATGCACTGTGGGAATATCAGGAATTTTTGGTTTGATTTGATTTAATCACTGGGGGTGTGGCTGTACTTCAAGGGGACTGTGAAACCTGTGTAATCATGTGAAACCTTGTGGTTATACGGATGTGCCAGAAGGACCAGGGCACAGGACACTCATCAGCTTCTCAAAGGGCCTGTGCGTCAAAAAAAAAGAGTTAAGGACAATTGTGTCTGGGTGACAGATTAAAGCACTAAGTGTCAGGGCTACAGAATACAAGTTCTCTTGCACAGCAAACCCCACAGAAATGTTTTAAAGAGACATTTTCAAGACATGATCAACTTTTCCCTCACAACTATACCATATAAGTATTTAAAAAAGTTCAAATCTGGAGTAGGACTACATATTACATTTTAACACACATATATATGGTAAGAACAAAAAAGAAAATGTGGAGTATTGAGTAATCACAACCATAACATGGACACCTGGCAACCCTGCCCCTGGCCGCCATTTCTCTGTTGTACAGAAAATCCTGATTACCTCGCAAGGTACAAAGGTGACAGGAACACGTTCATCTTCCAGCATGCGCCTGGATGCCTTTTGCCAATACATATAATCAACAAGAGATTTATGATCAAAGTTTCCTGTTGGTGGCTTGTCAGTTTGATCTTTCTGGATCATTCCCACGGGAAGCCTGGGGTCAGGCGCCATGACTTCCATTTCAGATTGTAGTTCTTTAAGCTCTTCGGGGGACAAATTGGCCAAGATCTCATCTTCATCAATCTCCTCATCCAAGAGTTCCTCTTGGTCTGAGTTCTTGCTGTGCTCTGACATGATTTTTTTTTTCTATGAGAAAAGAAAAAATAATCAAAAATGATAGTGTCCCAAGTCAACACCACCTGAGATAATTTTTGTCCAAGAACCTCAATGGTGCTTGCTGACCAGCTAGGAGTGACTGCGGCTAAGCTCCTGCTGGGTCTATATTAAGCAGTGCTTGGCTGGAGAGGGTCAGTTTATGGAACAACTATGCTGCTCTCTTTTCGGCAACTTGAGTCAGCTGTGCAAATCCATCTGACATTTCAGTACAGCTGCTTATGTTCACTAGCGAGCAACAGGTCTACACAGCCTGCAGAAATAAAACTAGTTCTCTTCCTATTGGCTCTCACATTGTCACACACAAATTCACACAGCCCATAAACACACATTCCCCAATACTACAGGGGAACTCACCTCTTATGTAAATGATTGGAGTAACTTACAATATTTCAGAAAGGAAATCCAACCAGCAACCTGAGTTCTATTGAAGGAAAAAATTCACTTGAAGGTGGAAATCAAGCTCCCAGTGTTTGCCTCTTCACTACAGTGTAACTCTGGAAGCAAGTTAAAACCTGTACACCTTTCAGCAGGGGGCTGGCTGTTAATTCATCTACTTTGTAAGCTGAACCTTTGCAAGATGTCCTTATCTGCATCTAGATCTTGTGATCTAACCAAAGGGACAACCAGCACTTGAATTTCCACTATGAGTGAAGACTTTAACATGTTAAATAATTTGGTTTATTAGTAAGTATCCAGTAAGCCAGGATTAATGAAAAAGAATTAAAATTGAAATATAAAAAGTCCCAAACCATTAAACATCAAAGTCCTAGAAGAAACCATGAGACCATGTACATATATATACATACATATACATATATATATATGTATGTATATGTGTGTGTGTGTGTGTGTGTGTGTGTGTGTATATATTCTGGGGGCATACTGCCTAAGGCACTTGACTGCTAACCAGAAGGCTGGCAGTTCAAACCCACCAGCTACTCCCTCGGAAGGAAGGTTGGGCAATCTACTTCCGTAGTGATACTGCCTTGGAAACCCAAGGAGGGGTCGCTATGAGTCAGGTTTGACTCCACAGCACATAACAACAACATTGGTGAAATGACAGATTTATGTAATTATTCAATTTTGTATAGCAAAATTGAATGTATTTTGTATAGCAGAGTACAGAACAACATATATTACATGATACTATTTGTGTGATAAAGGAGGGAAGAAAACATGTTAATGTAAAGATTTTATAAACAGAAAATATTCTTGATAATTGACAAGAAACGAATGATGTTTAGAGAGGGGAATGGGTTGTCGGGAACAAACCAACAAAAAATTGATTGTCATTGAGTTGATTCCAGCTCATGGCTACTCATTGTATACAGAGTAGACCTGCATTCCATGGGGTTTTCAAGGCTGTGACCTTTCAGATGCAGATCTCCAGGCTTTTCTTCCACTGTCTCTCTGAGTGGGTTTAAACCACCAACCTTTTAGTTAGCAGTTGAGTACTTTACCAATTAATTGTGCCACCAGGGACTTCTGTCCATGGGACTCACTCACTCACTCACTCACTCACTGCCATCGAATTGGGTCTGACTCATAGAGACCCCTCCTTGGGTTTCCGAGGCAGTATCACTACGGAAGTAGATTGCCCAATCTTCCTTCTGAGGAGTTGCTGGTGGGTTTGAACTGGCAGCCTTCTGGTTAGGCACTAAAGACTTTGTTATTGTATACCCTTTTATAATGATCAAATTTTAACTTCATAAATACAATACTTACTAAAAAAATTAAGTTGAAAAACACTTATTTTGTACAAAAGTTACGCTAACACAGGGAGGCACAAAGCACATAAAGTTTTTCTCTTAGCCCACCACTAGGAGCTACCAACATTTTGGTATATCATTCTGGTCCTTTCTTCTAAGCACAGGAACTTTTAATGCTTTTTTTTTTGTTTTGTTTTTTTTTGTTACCTGTTTTTCCCATTTACAAAACGAGGATTTTTTTTTTCTTGGCATTTGTGCATTCTCCTACTCCATAATTTTTAGGAATACTTGGATAGCAAATATTTTAGGAATACTTGGATAACAAATGGTTAAGTGTTTGACTACTTGCTGAAAGGTTGGCAGTTTGAAATCACCCAGAGGAACCTCGGGATACAAGTCTGACAATCTGCTTCCAAAAATTCACAGCCGTGAAAATCCTACGGAGCAGTTCTACTCTGCACACGAGGTCTCCATGGGTCAGAATCGACTTGATTGGCAACTAATGGCAAACAGGATTTTTAGTAGCTCCCTGTTATGATTTTTCACACAGGTGTGCTATAATTCATGTAGCCAATCCCCAGTTGTTGGATATTTAGACTGTTTCGGTCCTCACAAGCATAATATTGTTATTTTTCAATACATATCCCTGTAACTAAATATTTGTACATATGCAACATTATTTCCTTAGGGTAAAATCCAACAACTAAAATTGCTGGGTCCAAAAATGCAAAAAAATTAAAAGCCATATATGTATGGCTAAGTTCTTTCCCCTCAATGTTATTGAGTGCCTATCAGCAATATGAGGAGCCTGGTGGCACAGAGGTTAAGTGCTTGGCTGCTAACCAAAAGGTCCATGGTTCAGACCCACCAGCCACTCTGTGGGAAAAAGATGTGGCAGCCTGCTTCTGTAAAGATTATAGCCTTGGAGATCCTATGAGGCAGTTCTATACTGTTCCATAGTGTTGCTATGAGTCAGAATTGACTAGACAGCAATGACTTTGGTTTAGCTATCCCCAATATACGTCTCTTGAATCATTTGCAAATTATATACATACGTTATTCCATGCTATATGTATAATAAAAGGGAAAATCAAATACGAGATGAAAATTGAAGTTCTAAGATTTTCTTCCTACCTCATAGTTTATCTTAAGCATCCCAAGGTTGAGAAGTTTTAATATATATGGCTAAATTATCCCCCAGAGAGATATAACCAATTCAATAATTTTTTATGAGCATAAAACAATGCACATTTATTATCTTTCAGTTCTGGAAGTCAAAAGTCCAAAATGGATTAGAAAGGCTGAACTCCTTATGGAGGCTCTAGGAGAGAATTTGTTTCTATACCTATTCTAGTTTCTTGAAGTTGCTTACATTCCTTGGTTCATGTCCTCTTGAACCAATAAGTAGTCCATCTTCAAAGCTAACAATGAAGCACCTTTAAGGCTGTTTGAATGATAATTCTTAAAGTAAAGAATAAATAAAAACAAAACAAACTCACTGCCATAGAGTTGAATCCAACTCATAGCGACCCCTCTTTGGGTTTCCGAGGCAGTATCACTATGGAAGTAGATTGCCCCATCTCCCTTCCGAGGAGTGGCTGGTGGGTTTGAACTGCCAATCTTCTGGTTAGCAGCCTTAGTCACTACACTACCAGAGAGCCCATTTCATAGATAGTTTGCAGAACAATAGCCTAAAGAGTAGGAGCTCTGGTAGCCTAGTGCCTAAGGCACTTGCCTGGTAACCAGAAGGCTGGTGGTTCAAACCCACCTCAATGGCACATAACAACAGTCTAAAGAGACTCAGTCAAAAACAGTTTTGTGTCCAAAGAGATTTGGGAAATGCTCTCTTCTTCATTTGCCAGTTAGGAATTTATAAAGCACATTAGCTCTATTTAGAAACTCTGAGAAAACCTATACTAAAGAATCCCATTTGTTTAATCCAATATTCTCTAAAGTTATTTTGTTACATCATGCTTTAGTTTTTTCCTTTTAACAATTTCTTACTAATATTCTGTGAAGGTACTCTGGTGGGACAACAGTTAAGCATTTGGTTGCTAACTGGAAGCTCAGCAGTTCCAAACTACTGGAGAAAAGACCTAGTGATCTGTTACCATAAAAATTACAGCCTGCAAAGCTCTATGGGGTGGTCTGCTCTGTCACATTGGCTTACTGTGAGTAGGTATCGACTCAACTGCATACAACAACATTCTGTGTGGTTAACTTTCTAAGAATCAAAGTTTGTGAAACAATGATCTAGATATAAAAGAAGAGAATCTGGAGTTAGACTGCCTGGGTGCAAATCCCAACGATGCTCCTTATTATCTATGTGTGATCAGGCAAATTACCTAGCCCAGTTTCCTCATTTATAAAAGAAATCTGAGAATAGATATTTACCAGATGCTATCGTTGACAGAGGAGCTCTGGTAGCATAGTGCCTAAGGCACTTGACTGCTAACCAGAAGGCTGGTGGTTCAAACTCACCAGCCACTCCTCGGAAGGAAGGTTG